TCTTTTTCTCTCTAACTCTATTACAGAAAGAAAATGAGAGCTTATATATCACTTCTATCTAACAAACTAGACAAACTAACTCTTAGCTATTCTAACAGAAGGTTGTTTGAACTGTTCAGAAGTTAGTTTGCTGATCTGGCAGTCAGTTGTGTTGGATGGTGATTTTGCTGATGACTGAGCTGATGATTGAGCATCTGTTGATACGAATTAAACAATCTTTTCCTATATATGTATGCATTAACTGAACTTTTGACATAAACGGAACTCAAAATCACATTGCCAATATTTGACAATTTTATTATTATTATTTTTTTTTTGAATTTGGGATTGGAGTTCAATATTCATCCTCCTCAGAATGTACCGAAAAAGAGAAATGTGACAAGCAATATGAAAGTAATTTAAAATGCAATACATACATATCTAAAGGCCAACTTGAAATCGCATCAAAATTTAAAAAGAACACTCAAAACACTAGAATTGGAAGACTAGTGTTGCATAATTATCAGGATAATTATGCAAAGTAATTCAACTAATTGAATGAAAGGATACTGGTCATTGAAGGTCTTGTTCTGTTCAGGATCAAGCCCGAACATCAGAACCTATTTTGTCAATCTTGTATAGCAACATGACTGGATTGGAGACACCGACTCTCTGATAGTCAACAAATGCCCCCTCGAGACTTGCTTGTACACCACTTGAGAGCATATATCACTCGAAAGTATGTAGTGCAAGAAAGTCTCGACACGTACTACAGTTAAAGATATAAGGCCGTTTCAACTCGTGCCAAGGAGCCTTGAAGGATATGAGGCCGTTTAAACTCGTGCCTAGGAGCCTTGAGAATATGAAGCCGTTTAAACTCGTGCCAAGGAGTATCATTTAGCTTCCTCCATTTCAAATTTTACACAGGGTTTGCCCCCATATCGGTTGAAAGTGCCTATGAAGATATGAGAGGCAGAGTTGTCCCACTGGGCGTGCCAATTTGTGAACAAAGAAAATTTAATAAAATATATTAATATTCAAAATTCCGGTTACATTGAGTATGAATGCGGTGTGGGTACAAGTCTCTGGATGTCCTCTGATTCTTCAATTGGATGCCTTGAACACTCCACCATTGAAGGGCCTCCGGGTTTCAAGTGGCTTAATTTTCAAAGAATGGCTTGTATAGCTTGTTCTTCATTGAAGGGCCTCCAGGTTCAAATGACTTGATCTTCAATGGAGGTTTGGATCAACAGACATGATTGGATTGGAGGAGGGGTTTCCCTAAATAAGGTTCAAAGCTTAGGATGTTTCTATGATTTTTTCCTAGGATCAATACATAGAAATGAAAGGTCCTATTTATAGCGGTAGGATACAAGAGTTTTGATAAACTCAAACTCTTTTGATATTATCTAATTAACAAATTAGATAATATCAATATTATCCAAAATATATTCAAATATACTAATATTGATAAATAATCAATATTTATCAAAATTTGAGTGTCAACGACAAGATTGACTCTTAGAAAGAGTATTAGCCTCATTGATTTGAACTAGTCAACTATGAACAATCTACGTTAGTTTAACTCATTTTGATCATTTCCTAGCTAGGGTCACAAAGCGAAATTTACTCATGCACACCTTCAGGTAGCAGATTCATATTTCTTTCGCCACTAAAAAATAGGGATGTGATCTGTAACCTAAAATTAATGGATAAGATAAAAAAATAAAAAAAAAATAAAAAAAGTCAACTTGATATGTAAGTATATCCTCTAATGGGTAAAACAGTTGGCCTAGAAATTTAAGAATGGTCTATATGGCCATATTCAAAACCAATGATTGAACCATTGATAATAATAGATGAATAGTCGTCTCTTCCACTCATTCACTCTCCTAAGTTAGTTGTTGACATTGATATCCGTTCCTGGGGTGGTTGACTTTTAATTTTTTTTGTTCTCGGACAAGTGAAAGTATTAATGCTTCATGTGCACCATCAGTTGAGACATGTTTTTACAGGTCAGAGCAATGATTTGGTCATATTCATGCATGTTCAAGAAATCAAATTAATAATAAATATAAAATGTTGTTGGCGTTATTTGGGAAAAATTAAAGGAAGATACTTGGTCACAATTTTCTTCCTCTCACAAGTTTTTGATGTAGACATTTTTTAATTGGATGACTCAAATGAAAAAAATAACTAATTTTTATTTATCACATCTATAAATAAAATTTGGGAGTATGCATAGTAGAATTCAAAATTAAAATACTTCCATGTGCACCATCCATCTAGACTTATTGATTTTATATAGGGATGATAATTTTAATTTGTCCCCGCAAATATTCACCTGAATTCAGGTCACATGGGTTGAGTTTTTTTGGATGATAATATGTCAAAGGTCAAGGATGGGCTTTAAAAAAAGTAAAGTCGCAGTGACTCGGATTGGATTCAGGTTCTATGTACAAAATTCTCCTAGAACCGTATTTAATCCACCATGTGTGTACATGTGTGTGCGTGTATGTGTATATATATATATATATATATATATATATATATATATATATATATATATATATATATATATAGTAAAATAAGTACTAGTATGTAGTTAATTATAAGATCGAGTTTCTATAACTTGGATAATTTTTTATTATTTTTATATCTAAATTATTAAGTTTATTTTTAAAATTAACAATCTAGTTGTTAGAATATTTCTATTATTTTATTTTTTAATATAATTAATAAATTTTATTATTCTATTGTGTGTAAGTAATTTAAATATTATTTTTTAAAAAAATTTAATAAAATAATAAGTAGTGGACTAGTGGGTATCAACGCCTGGTGGGGTGGGAGTGAGTTTTGTAAAAGTCCACTTGATACTGATTGAAGTGAAAGTCGGTAGATAAAATATAAGGTGAGTCCGGTGATAGATGTACCCATTGCCATCCTTAGTTTTATATATCAGATGAGATAGAGAGATAAATTATAATGTTTTAAAGTAAGCAGATCAAGACCATCTAATTACTGCACAGACACATTGTTTGAGAAAAGTTGAGATCTGATCTGAATAGTTTGAGAGAGAGAGAAAGAGAGAGATGGCTTGTGTTGCTTTGACTTCTCTCATGGCAACAATGGAGTTGGAGTTTCTTCAATCCAGTAGTCGTCCAAGAGTGGCAACAATGGAGTATTAGCCACCTTGATTTGAACTAGTCAACTATGAACAATCTAGATTAGTTTAACTCATTACGATTATTTTCTGACTGGGTCACGAAGCGAGATTTACTCATGAACACCTTCAATTAGCGGATTCATATTTCTTTCGTCACTAAAAAATATGGATGTGATTTGTAACCTAAAATTAACGGATAAGATTTAAAAAAAAAAAAAAAAAAAAAAAAGTCAACTTGATAGGTAAGTATATCCTCTAATGGCCTAATGGGTAAAACAGTTGGCCTAAAATTTTAAAAATGATCTATATAACCATACTCTAAACCAATGATTGAACCATTAACATTTAGGCTATCCTCACTCCTGCAAAGAACCCATTGACAAAGTGATGTGGTAAAATGAGGTGGAATAATATGCTATTTATATTTATTTTTATTGCTTACTTGGATTGTCAATTTGCAAGTAATGCAAATTGGCAAACCATTTGCATCGTACAAAGCTGTTGCCACAGCAGCAGCGGCAGCAGCTTTATACCTTTTTTTTTTAATTTTTTATTTTATATATGTACTTTTTGTTTGTTTTCTTTATTTATTTTATTGTTTGGGGTCCACTTTTCAAAATAGATTAGATTTGCAGAGATGTGGTGTGAATAGTAGATGATTTGCAAATGGGATGATGTGGGAGTGGGACCCATTTTTAAGAGTGGGAAATATTTGCAGGGATAAGGACAGCCTTAGTTGGATATTTTCTCACACTCAATCACACTCCTAAGTTAGTTGTTGACATTGATATCCGTTCCTCGGGCGGTTGACTTTTAATTTTGTTTTCCTCGGAGAAGTGAAAATATTAATGCTTTCATGTGCACCATCAGTTGAGACAGGATTTTACAGGTCTGAGCAATGATTTGGTCATTCATGCATGTTCAAGAAATCATCAAATTAATACGGAGTAATAAATATAAAAAGTTGTTGGCGTTATTTGGAAAAAAATTAAAGGAAAATACTTGGTCACAATCTTCTCCATCTCACAAGTTTTTGATGCATATATTTTTCTGTTGAATGACTCACATGAAGAAAATAACCAATTTTTATTTATTAACATCAGTGAGTAAAATTTGAGAGCATGCATAATAGAACTCAAAATTAAAATACTTCCATGTGCACCATCCATCTAGACTTATTAATTTTATATAGGGACGATGATAATTTCAATCTGTCCCGCAAATATTCACCTGAATTCACCTCACATAAATTTTTTTGGGTGATAGTGGGTCAAAGGTCGAAGATGGGCTTTAAAAAAGTAACATCGCACTGACTCGGATTGGATTCAGGTTCTGTGTACACAATTTGCTTTGAACCTCACTTAACCCACCATGTGTGTGTGTGCGTGTGTGTGTATATATATATATAATAGTAAAATAAGTACTAATATATAATTAATTATAAGATCGAGTTTCTATACCTTATGTAATTTTTTTATTATTTTTAATTTTTATATCTAAATTATTAAGTTTATTTTTAAAATTAACAATTTATTTATTTGAATATTTCTATTATTTTATTTTTTAATATAACTAATACATTTTATTATTTTATTATGTGTAAGTAATTTAAATATTATTTTTTGAAAAATTTAACAAAATGTTAAGTAGTGGGTATCAGCGCCTATGGGGAGGTAGTGAGTGTTGTAAAAGTCTACTCAATGCAAAGTGAAATTAGGTAAACAAAATATAAGGTGTGTCGGGTGGTAGACCCATTGACATCTTTAGTTGTATAGATCGGATGAGATAGAGAGATAAATTATTATGTTTTAAACTAAGCAGATCAGACCATCTAATTACTGCACATACACATTGATTGAGAAAAGTTGAGATCTGATCTGAATAGTTTGAGAGAGAGAAAGAGAGAGATGGCTTGTGTTGCTTTGACTTCTCTCATGGCAACATTGGAGTTGGAGTTTCTCCAATCCAGTAGTCCAAGGGTGTCTCTTCATGATGAAGCAACAGTGAAATCTTTGTTTGAAAAGCTCTCATCTTTGCAAGCTTTTCTGCAGGAGAAACCCAAGAGTGGCGGCATTGCAATCAGAGATTTGGAAATCAAGATCAGAGACTTTGCACTGGATGCCGAAGACCGCATCGAAATACAACTAAGCAACTTTCTTCTGGCCAAGGACAAAGAAGATCAAGAAAAAGCTTCTCAGCAACTCCATCAAACCTTTGGAGAAGCAGCGGAAAACGCAGCAAAGTTGCTGAAAATTAGCAACATCATAAGCAAAGAGGCGGCGGACAATAATGAAACTCAACCACCACTGATTCCTAGGTTGAAACATGCTTCCTCTCCGGTGCTTGAGGGCAGAATGGTCGTGGGTCTTAGCTATGATCATATGGATATAGTGGATCGTCTCATCCGGGGCTTTTATGAACTAACAGTAATCCCAATTGTTGGGATGAATGGCATTGGAAAAACAACTTTAGCTATAAGTGTCTATAATGATCCAAAAGTTACATCCTACTTTGATGTACGAGGTTGGGTTACTATGTCCGGGGAATACAACAACAGCCAAATGCTACACGACCTACTTTGTACACTAGCAGAGGGGGATGAAAATGAAAAGGGAAGCATTCCTGATGATGATGTAGCAGCTGGGCAGGTATACAACTTCTTGAGAGGTAAGAGGTATCTAATTGTTTTGGATAACTTATGGAGCAATCAAGCTTGGCAAGATATCCGACAATGTTTTCCTAATGATGTAAATGGAAGTGGCATAGTAATAACCACTACACATTTCAGGCAGGATTTCGTTGATAACTCACATAGCTATATCCATTACATGCGTTTCCTATTTTCTGATGAAAGTTGGGAATTATTTTGTAATAACCTTTCTCTGGAACAACATATGGCACCTAAATTTGAAAAAATTAGGAGTCAAGTTGTAGAGAAATGTGAAGGATTACCGCACTCAATTGTTGTAGTTGCAAGACGTTTGTCTAAGTGTGACAACATAAAACAAGAATGGAAGAAGGTTGAAAAGGAAGTAGAGTTGCTTGGAGTTCTAGATAGAAGGGCACTCACCCTTACTTACAATCAATTGCCACAACATTTAAAAGTTTGTTTTCTATATTTTGGTGTCTTTCCAAAACATAGTGACATCAAAGTGAAAGTACTTATTAGGTTATGGATTGTTGAAGGATTTATTAAGTCATTGGAGGGTAAGGAGTTAGAAAATCAAGCTTATGAGTATTTGCAAGATTTTATTGATAGAAGTCTTATTATAATTGTCAGAAAATCAAGCTTATGAGTATTTGCAAGATTTTATTGATAGAAGTCTTATTATAATTGTCAGTAGGAATTCTGACAGAAAAATTAAGACTTGTCGGATGCATGGTGCCTTGCATAGCTTTTGTCTGAGAGAAGCTCAGAAAGAGAGCATTTTTTGTGCAGTGAATACTGGGCAATATGCACCACGGTCACTTAAAATGTTCGCAAACTCATGCCGCTGGTTAAGTTTATACAGACATAGGTTTGACTACTATGTGTTGTTAAGAACAAACAATCCTCGCTCCATTTTCTTCTTCCATGAAGATGCTGAAATATCTGTATCTTTCAAGTTACTAAGAGTTTTGACTTTTGTTCCATCTTCATTTCTTCAAAGAGTGCCAACAACCAACTTACATGATTTAGTTTTTTTGAGATACCTATCTGTATCAGAATGGTTTGATGGTCTTGATTATGTAGTGTCAAACAATCCAAACTTGCAGACACTAGTTGTTTCCGGTAGTAATGAATTCCAACCAAGACGACCTGCTGTCCATTTGCCTTCTACAATTTGGGAGTTACCACAGTTACAACATCTTGAACTTCACAATGCATATGCGATTGATCCTCCAATCGCAGTCAAAGATAATATGCAAACATTATCTTGGGTGTGTCCAACTCATTGTAGAATGGAAGTCTATCGCAGGTTTCCAAACATCAAGAAATTGAAAATGTTTGTATTTTGCAGCAAGCCCATTATGTTGGATAATCTTGACTATTTGGAATGCCTTGAGAGGCTAACAATTTCTGTTTCGTTTGGTTGTGTTGTATCCCTTCCAAAACCATCTATGTTTCCTTCACAACTGAAGAAGTTGAGGTTAAATGGTACTAACCTTTCTGAGAAGGATTTAATGGTAATTGGCATGTTGCCCCAACTTGAGGTTCTGAAGTTGAAAAACGCTTTTCAAGGGGAAATATGGGAGGTAGCTAAAGGAGGATTCCATAGATTAAAATTCTTGCTTCTTGAAGATAAAAAGCTCAAGCAATGGATAGCTGAAGAAGATTCTTTCATGTTCCAATGTCTTGAACGCTTAGTTCTAAAATTTTGTTATTGTTTGAAAGAAATTCCTCAAATAATGGAAGATATTCCCTCCTTGGAATTAATTGAGTTGGAGCAGTGTGGTTCTTCTGTTGAGGCTTCTGCAAAGCATATTCATCAATTTCGACACGAATTGGGACAAGAAAATTTTATGGTAAGATGTTACAGCATTATTCATTCTTCGTTTTTCTTTTATTTTGTATTCTATTCTAACTTTATTTACAAAATCTGCTACTGTTTTGTCCTTCAATTCTCATCTCATCTCATTTTCTTCATTTTGCGTTCTTTTATTCATGTAGCTCTGTCTTGGCTATTGCTAAGTATATTCAAGAATAATCAATGTACGTATGCGGAAATGAAAATTTGAAGGTTAGAATTAAGCTACTCCAGATATGTTACATTCCTAATTTTGTACTGTATTATTTATATTTGACTTTTCGATCACATTCTATTTTTTTTTTTTTTTTTATAGATCAAAATTGAAGGATGTGAATATGATGAATCATAGTGCACATACACAAGTACACATAGAAAACGATTGGGGCTTGGGAGGAATGTCTCAAATTATCCAGTCCAATGGTGAAATACAAGCTAAGGAATATCAAGTTGAAGATGATGAGTTTTCTTAATTTTTTTTTTCTTAATTTTTTTTTTTTTTTTTGAATGCTACTGATTCTATTATAATTATAATAATGACTTTTCTTTATTAGAGTACTTTTGAGTTGTGAATGTATGTTATCATGCACTTTGTGGACATTTCACTTTTTGCTTGTTTGTGAAAATATTTTTAATATTTGTGCGCAATAAGCGTGAGATCGACTTATATTATTCATGCATTAGAGTTATTCATCAATGTGATTTCGCTAGTAGACCCTATTAGGACGTACTCTATGTATTTGAGTTTGATTATGATTCCCTATTCCAGTCTTTCTAAGACTTCCTTATTATATATACATGTAATCTGTACATTATATTAGGCCATTAAATACACAACTTGTTGGTCCCGGTAGGGTCGAAAGAGAGTCTAGAGGAGGGGGGTGAATAGACTCTAATCGATTTTTCTGATTTAACTCATTTCGGGGTGGCTCGCCGGCCGCTTTCAAGGCTCAAAAGGGCGGTCAGAAAGGCTGCGGTTCCGGGAGCGGTAATGGTGGCCGTGGTTCCGGCCAGAATAGCGGTCAAAACAATGGCCAAACCTGCCAGCCGCGTGGTGGTGGCGGCGGCCGCGGGTGTGGTGGCGATCGCCGTGGTGGAGGATGCAACGACAACTGGCAACCCAAGTGTCAACTTTGTCATATGTTGGGTCATACTGCTTCCACATGCCATCTTTGGTGTGCCAAGGATCCTCATGCTAATGTCATATATCAAGAAACTCCTTCAGATCCTCAAGGTTCCCACACCTGGCTTCCAGATACAGGTGCCACCAATCATGCCACTTCAGACATCGCTGCTCTCTTCTTCTCGGGGGATTACAATGGTAATGACACATTACGTGTTGGTGATGGTATGTGATTACCTATTAGTCGTATTGGTCATGCTACCTTTAATTCCCCCTTTAGATCTTTTCAATTGTCTAATATCCTTCATGTTCATTCTCTGTTGTCTATTCAAAAATTTGCATAAGATAATACGGTGTTCTTTGAGTTTCACCCATCTTTTTTTGTTGTGAAGGATATCAACACCAAGGAAATTCTTCTACGGGGTAATAGTTCTGGGGGGCTTTACAAGCTTCCCATTCTAAGTTCGTCACAAACTGCGTTTCTTTCGGCTAGAGCCTCAGCATTTGTGTGGCATGATCGTCTTGGCCATCCTCATCAACGAGTTCTTAGTCAAATTCTTTCGTCTTGTTCGGTTAGTGGGTCTAGCAGTAATATTCATTGTTCATTCGTCTTGTTCAGTTTCCTTTACCGCGTGTAGAGTCCTCTAGTTCGTGTGTCCTTGGTTTAATTTGCACAGACATTTGGGGACCTGCTCTCATTCTTTCCACTAATGGATAACGTTATTTCGTTATCTTTGTTGATGATTACTCTCGTTACACTTGGTACTTCCCTATATCACAAAAGCCTGATCTCTATGATATTTTTGATAAGTTTCGGGCTATGGTTGAATGTTCATTCAATCGCAAAATTAAATCCATTCAGTTTGATCTAGGATCTGAATATATAAAGTTACACACCACCTTGGCTCAATTAGGCATTCTTCATAGAAAATCATGTGCGTATACTCATGAACAGAATGGTCGTGTCGAAAGAAAACATAGACACATTGTTGAAACTAGTCTAGCTCTCTTAAGTCGTGCCTCCATTCCTTATAAGTTTTGGGATTATGCTTTTGAGACTGCGATTTATTTAATTAATAAAATGTCATCCGCTGTGACAAATAAATCCAGTCCTCGTCTTCTATTGCATAAATTCCCTCCATCCTATTCTTTTCTTTGTGTCTTTGGTTGTTTGTGCTATCCTTATTTGCGTCCCTATAATCGTCATAAGATGTCTTACAGGTCATCTCCATGTGTCTTCCTAGGCTATCTTGAGTCATTTAGGGGGTATAGGTGTATGGACCTTCAGACTATGGTATGTATATATGCAGGCATGTTCAGTTTGATGAGAATGTTTTTTCTTTTGGCAAGACAGTTTTGCAGGCACCACCAGTTCAAACGACTCAACCGTGGGCTGAGTCTGTACTTGTTCCAGCTTCATCGTCCGTCTCAGCTCACTCGATTTCGCCCGAATCAATCCCGGCCAGCAGCGAATCTAGCCAGCCAGAACCAGCCCAAGATGGGCCCTCGGCGAACACCGAACCTGCTGCCGCTCAGCGATGCCGTGGCCGGCTGAGAGGTCGGTCATCGCGCCCCACGGTTCAGACTCACTCCATGGCCACTCGTAGTCACGCTGATGGTCCTCTCTTGGCCCTATCAGCCCAAGTTTTCCCCACTGAACTTACTTGTTATACACAGGCAGTTAAACATGATGAATGGCACAAGGTTATGGATGATGAATTTAATGCGCTCCTTCAGAATGAAACCTGGTATCTTATCCCATCTCAGTCTAATATGAATATTATTGGGTGTAAATGAGTTTTTCGCACCAAAAGGAAAGCTGATGGGACAATCGATCGATACAAAGCAAGATTGTTAGCAAAAGGATTTAATCAAGTACCCGGTCAAGATTTTTTTGACACCTTCAGCCAGTGGTCAAACTGACTACTATCAAGTTACTTCTATCTTTGGCTATATCATCTAGTTAGGTTATCAAACAGCTTGATGTGCATAATGCTTTCTTGAATGAGTCTTTATCTAAGACTGTCTATATGAAACAACTACCGTGATACATTGATAAACAATTTCCCAATCATGTTTGTCTATTGAAACATTCCCTATATGAATTAAAACAGGCCCCCAGAGCTTGGTTTAATCGCTTACATACCTTCTTGATGACAGCGGGTTTTAAAGCTTCAAAAATAGATGTATCTTTGTTTTACTCACTACTACAAAATTGGGAATAAAAGTAGTACTTTTCACAAAACCTTCATAATGAAGGTGTAGTGAAAAGAAAAATGAAAAACTTTCCAAGGACCAATTTGAAAAGGGTGTCTTAGAAATTATATTATTATAATAATAATAATAATATGGGAATTCGCGACACCCACAGAGGACGGGTGCCACGAATATTATATTATTATAATAATAATATGGAAATCCGCGGCACCCACGAGGAAAGTGTCGCGGATATTAAATTATTATAATAATAATAATATTGGAATCCACAGCACCCCCCGCGAGGTTGCCGCGGATTCCAATATTATTATTTTTTTTTTTGGTGCGTAATATCAACTAAGAACTTTTAATTTCTCACTGAGAAGGTTCATAAGGCACTTATCTTTCTAGATGTTGTTGTAATGTTGTGATCGTCTTTTATTCTTGTAATCTGGCTCTGAATTTTAAGGTGCATGTGGTTATGTGGATCAATTTCTGCATCACCGCATATATATATATATATATATATATATATATATATATATATATATATATATATATATATATAATCTGGATCAGGTGAGGACCTAATCTTAGGTGAGGACGTGAGGACTAATCTTGTGCGTTTGTTTTTTTATTTGGATGGTCCAGATTTGAGTTCTTGAGATGACATGGATTGATCTTTTTTGTTAAAGTGGGATAATAGTGTCTTTTTCTATTTTTTAAGTGTGAACGCATGTATAATCCTGTGCCAAATTGGTTTCCTATTTTCTTGGATCATCACCGTTGCAATTTGGAGCCGCGATTTCTTCATCATTGATTGAGTGTTCGCCCATGCAAACTAATCAGTATTTTTTATTTTTTTTCGCTTGTTCTTTTGAGTATAATATTGTCTATATTTGGATTTTCGTGTATATGTATAAATGCCTGGGTAGTACGATTGTGCATTCATGTGTGCTGATTGTGCAACCTAGTGTTGTAAGTTGTGCACTATAGGCTAGGGATTTTTGTATTATAGCACATAGTTCAATGCATCGTAGAACATTGGATGTTCACTGTATGATTTTTTGGCGGGGTTTGAATGCACAACAATGAAGTTATTGATGCACAACACTCAGTATAGGAATGCACAACACTCAGTATAGGAATGTACAACATTTTGTATAGGAATGCACATCTTTTAATAAGACTGATTTACCCTGAATTTATATATTTTAAAATTTTAAAGGGATTTGTTTTCTTAATCCGTGTGATTTGTTTCTTTTAATCTCAATCATACATCATTATGATTTAATGGTCTAGATTAGTCCTCACGTCCTCACCTAAGATTAGGTCCTCACCTGATCCGGACCCTATATATATATATATATATATATATATATATATATATATATATTAAAATAAAGTAGTATCTGCGACACCCTCTCTGTAGAGGTGTTGCTGAAAGATAATATTAAAAAAAAAAAGTAAAATGGTTTCCGCGACACCTAAATTTAAATGGGTGTTGCGGAAATTAATTATTCAAAAAATAATAAATGACTTTCTGAGGCACCTGTGACGTAGCAGGTGCCTCGAAAAGTCTCTATTAAAAAAATAAAAAAACTCTTATTTAGCTTCCCGCGACACCTTTTACAGGTGTCTCGGAAAGCTAAACATTTTCAGAGGCTCTGGAATCCGATCACCTGTACAGGTGACTCGAAAAGTGTTTTATGGGTGACTCGGAAAATGTTTTTGTACTATTGTCTACTTACAGGGTTCAGGTTTCATTTATGTTCTTGTTTATGTTGATGACATTCTTGTAATAGGCAATGATCAAGGTTTTATCAGCTCCCTTCTAACTGTGCT